GATACCGCGTCTACACTGCGCACACCAACATCCTGATGTCAAGGTACGGAAGCCTTGTAGCCTCATAATAACCAGGTGTGAGCCGGATATCCTATTATAATTTCAGCCACAGTCCGTCTCCCTGGTGGGCCCACTTCCCTTTCAGATTTGATCCGATTCTAGAAACCAGATTATCTCTCAGAGCTTCAAGCTCGAAATCGAAACACCGAAACTCAACCAACTTCCCCTGGACGCCCAGATATCTGACAGAATGCGAAATCAGTGAATAGCTCGTATCCAGTTCCATCCATGGGTCGTTAGGATCCAGCGTCCCAGCGCGCTGCTCGTCCTCAAATATTGTACTGTTAGGCTGCGGTGCAAGTTGAAAGCTCAAATGGCGGAGGTTCGACATGTTGCGTATCACCTTGAGGACCAAATTCGTGTGGTTGTAGAAAGGGAAAACGGCGATATAATGGAAGGATGTCAGGCGCGAAATGGCAGCGACGGGGTAGGGCAGTTCTTTGGATTGGAGAGGGTCGACAGAGCCCCAGTGATCCATAATTGAGGGGACGCGGAGAAGATAGTACTCGTAGTTGCTGTATGCTCTCAAAGAAGAACCTTCGTTGAACAGGATTTCCGTCCACGGTCGAGCGCTGAAGAGCGTGTCATCCGATCCATGGTTTGGAAGGGGGATAGGCCGCTGAGCCGGCCGATGGAACTGTATTGTTTGAAGTGGCAACTCGAAAGCCCAGGAATGCACGCCGTCTAAATGGCGGAGTGCCATATGTGCAAACATATATGGTGGCGCAATGACGGTGAGATGGTGAGGGTCGACCTCTCCCAGCAACCGCACCCACCACAGCGGTTTCTCGCTGCTGGGGAATATCGATCGCACAGAAACAACGACTGATTGCACATATGGAGCAAGCTCATGTTCGCGGAGGAAGTCGAGGAAGCGATCCTGATCCCGCAGCTCGTGGCGGGTGTGGGCGAAGAGGAGAGGCCGCGTTAGGGCTCGAAAACGGGGCGAGGCTCGCGAGACATTTTTCAGATCCAGAGCCGTGGATGATGTGATGCTGTGCACTGGTACCTGACGGAGCTTCCTGGAAGACGGAGGAGGCCCTGGTGAGAGGTAGGAGAGGACCTGATCGAGAAGCTCATTGGGGAGAGTCTCTATCGAAGCCACAGGTTGTGTCGATGGTAGAACTCTGCTGGCCATGTGGGGGGAAATGTTCAAAGGGATTGTTGGCGATATTCATTCTATTGGTGCAAGATGGGTGCCTGGGGTAACAAAATTGATGTTGGTGAGGTCTGGGTCCTGAATTACGTCAGAGTAAGACTAACTAACTAGTTAGTTAAATAGTTAACTCTCTGAGAAAACTGTAACTTATACTCCGTACAGACACTGATTATATCAGTGTGATTCTCATCAACTCACTGATAATTGATAAAATCTGTTGAAAGTTCTTATTTATTGATAAATTAATTTATACAATCAACTCTCTATCACCCACCCACTCATTTATATATCTATATACTTCCTTTCTCACAATTTCATTTTATAATTGTATATAATCTTGTAAGAAGATATAGATAGTGTGAAGAGTGATATCATCGATAGATATCATTCATTCAAGCAGATCAGTAGATGGATAGGTAGGTAGGCAGGCAGGTAGGCAGATAGCTAGTATTCTCTATCTGAATATTGCCCCAATACTGAATATCAAATTGAATTGAATTAACTATGATGTTCTTGATAACTACATGATAAAATGACAGTACTCGCACGAATGGGGATGCTCGATTATCTTTCTCCTCTACAAGTACCGATTGGAGAGGCGCCGACGAAGAAGCACCACGAGCAATGAGAGTACCAACAGATTTCACTCTTGTGGCACTCCACGTGTAGACAATGACTCGGAGAATCTCTTCGTAAAAGTGGGTTTGGTTTACTGGACTGATACCGAGCCTGTTGCTGCTTTCTATTCTTCACCTCCCGGGCAAAGGCCTCCGGATCCGCTAACTTGAGAGGGAGAAGATCCGTAGGCGGCTGCCAGATTTGCTCCATGCTTATCTGAACGTTATCCATGCCACTCCAGACGTTGAGCATACTCTGTCTTTCCTCTGGAGAAAGGGGAGAAATTTCGATCATAGTCTTCAACTCATCAATGGAGGGTTGGGCATAATCTATGACCTCACCAGCTTCGTTGAAGACGCGCAAAATGCCATCGTTACCAATGTGATGGAATCCGGCTGACTTGGTCCTCATGTTTTCTGGTAGGCCATGGTAGTCCACGTTGTTATTCTGCTTGTCTTGCCAATATATGAAATCATGTGGCTATCATTGACGCATACCTCATGTTAACACTTCTGGATGGGTGAGAAAGTCCAGGGGGATATATCACTCACCCGTCCATTTTCTCGATCAAGGACATCATTGGTAGCAACACAAAGGGCGAGGCCAGCGAAGCCCAGAGAGGTAAAGGAGAAATAGTGCATTGTTATCGGAGGTTTTTAAACCAATCATGCAATTGCAGGCAGGCCGAGGCTTGTAGATTATAAACCTCAAAAGTATCGTATGTTGGTGATCAACTCAAAAGATCTGTATATATCTTGCGTTCCAACTAGTTTTGGAGAGTTTTATGAGCAAGATGAATACAGATCGTATATGGCTTTGGCTTGTTAGCTATCTGGCAAAACATCGGGGTGACTAAGCTAACAGATATACTAACATCCGTCCTCACCATCTGAGTACGAAAAGAGTGAAAGGTATTGTTCGATGCTCCATGCAACACAAAATATAGAACTATTGCTAGGAAGAGTGCGGCAATGCCATTTTATAATTTTCAAAGAACAATAAGTTAGTACTTGAATATCTAGCTCCATGGCGGTATTGAGCTTTAAATGTTGAATCAAAGCGGCACTACTCCGTAGTAATTAAGCCGTGAGATTGGGTGGCATTTAGCACTAGTTAGCACTTTGTTGAGTGTGGGGTGAAAATTCAAAAATTTTAATAATGGCATATACTGAGATTCGATTTAATATGGTAATTACAGATCTGTATATTTTTCAATTAACTATGACTTAACTT